TCTTGTTCCTAGCCATCCATATAAACCAAGCAGTGATACAAGCAATTGGGGGTAATTCTTGATCTTGTCAATCCTTCCAGCTGAGGGAGAAATCATTCCAGGACAAAAGAACAGTTTCTAACTTCAGTTTGGGAATTAAACAGTTCCAAACCTGTTTAACTGTGGAACATTGGAAAAATAAGTGCTTTATAGTTTCCTCATGGGAGTTACATAACCCACATCTAGAGGGACCTCTCAAGCCTTTTAACTTCAGTATATCATCTGTGGGTAGAAAGCCATGGAGTAATCTCCAATGAAGGGGATAGGTATTTATTCCACACACATTTACTCCAGCTGACTCTGTATTGAGGAACACACAAGTTATCAATGGTTGCACATAAAGACTGGGACACCTTCTTTTTCACAATCAAGATATCTTTCCTATCTCTATCAATGTTTCTTTTCATAACCTTCTGTAAAGTTGTATTATCCAGTATATTCTGTAAAGCTTGCTGGTTCCACTCCCCATTGAACCATAGATCAGCCACCTGAGTTGTAGGATTTAATTGAGGGTTAGATGAACTGTTGATTAAGCCCTCACCAGTCCAATTATCCAGCCAGATATTAAGCTTGCCCTCACCAATTTTCCAGATGAAAAGATTTTTAGCCTGAGCTCTGACTTTTAGCATATTGGTCCAGGCCCTGGAATCCCCAAGTCTTTTAGTAACAAGGGAGGGATGCAACTCTCTACAGTATTTGCCCTTTAAAAATTTAGCCCAAAGAGAACTCTGGGCTCTGAACATCAACCAAAGCTTACAAAAATTGATTTAAGAGATCTGTATAAGACTTTTGAAACCCAGACCACCAGCACTAGTGCTTCCACACAGCTTTTGCCAACTGGTCCAATTCATTTTCTTCCTCTGACCTGCCCACAAAAATCTATTAAACATTCTTTCCAATGTTAACTGTGTTGACTTTTTCATTACAGAAACCTAGGAGATATAGGATGGAAGAGCCGTCAAGAAACTTTTTAGAAGAGTAACTCTACCCCCATTGGAAAGGAATGAATTAGCCCAGCAGTTTAGAATTTGTCCTGAATTTTGGTGATACAATCATCAAATTGAACTTGTCTTGTTTTCCCCTTCACTAGCAAAGTACCTAGGTATTTTAAAGGCAAAGAGCTGGTCTTGAAGCCACTAAGTTCAGTAGTCCAATGCTTAATTTCAGGTTT